ATGAAGACGATGAAGGTCTTCCCTTTGAAATCCCTTTGGGAGTCTCTCGTGGGCCTGATGCTCCAACGACAGGTGGTGGTGGCCTAAATTCTGGCCACTGCAAGGTCAGCGCCTCAACAATCTTGGAGAAGTCGAGTGACTGCATGGTAGAAGCCAGAATCATGCGTTGGTCCTGATGAGACTGACCGGCACGGTCTAGCAACCTTGTGCCCAAGGCTTCATCATCATAAGTGGCCGTGATGTTCACGCCCACTGAGGCCAAAGCGCGCTGGCTTCTTCTGAAACGGTTGGCATATTGCCACATTGATTCACCAGGGTAGCGACGCATCATCTCGAATTGATGAAGGTATTGCCTCAGGGCTGACTCCTTCTTGGATTGGAATGGAGCAACACGAAGCATCCAAAGGTCGACCTTCTTGCGGAACTTGTCATAAGCACGAAGGTCGTCTTTGTCGTACTGCCAAGATGGAGGTGCTGGAGCTGTTCCTCCACGCCATTTGGTCCCTTGTTTTGGGCCTTTGAGCGAGTTCCAGTCGGCGCTGTCATCAGCGTCTTTCTTGGAAATGAGCTTCTTGAGGGCACTCAACAACTCATCTTCCCGAGTCTGGGAAACCTTGACAGATGGTTCTGTCTGAGGTGGGCGTTGAGGAACGGCAGAACGTCGATGGTGAGGAGGAGGTTCACTTCGTGGAACATGATGAGGTGACTCTGGCTCAACGCAGGGGTCATCCGTCCTTTGTTCAGACTCCGGCCATTCACGACCTTCGAAGCCTTCATCTGCAGGTGGGTCGTTCTTTTTGGCTCTTCTCCTTCGGCGTTTTGAGGAATGTGAGGAGCGATCATCACGCTTTGAAGCATGAGGCAAGAACAGCCAAGTTCCATCCTGAGTGAGCTTCTTGGTGGGCCTGGTCGTCTCATAGAACTCCTGACCGCCACACTCGTCACATAGCCAGCGGTAGGCTGACAACTGGTAGTGGTTGTCTGAGTCGCATGCCAGACATCGCCAGGTACACCTCTCTGCATTGGGCTCGTCCTGGGTCGTGGCAAAGTCATGCACGAAGGGCTCGGGTGGATCCTCGGCGAAGTGGGCCGGAGAGAAGGATCTTGACATCTCATCAAACTCATCCCGCAGGTCATATTCAGGGAGGTCATCGGGTTCAAGGTCGTACTCATCATCGGCCTCATGCATCGCAGTCCAAACCGGCATCGCGACGTGCACTAGGCTCCGGTGCCAACTTAACACAGCCGTGCACCTGCCTCAAAGAAGAAATCAAAGTGAAAGCGCTCGACCGCGCTTTTCCATTCAAGGCGCACAAGCGTGAGGTAGAAACGAACAATGGCTGAAGGGCCCTCGAGACGGAACGGCCACGCGACAAGTTGGGTCAACCTGAGTCGATGTCTTGCATGACTTTTTCAGAAGGAATGGCATATCTGGACCAAAACCATTAGTCTGTGAACAGTCACTCGCGACCAAATGTGCTTGAGATTAGACGTAGCAAACCTGCAATGCGTCCAGTCAGGTTTGCGCTTTGTGACAAAATGAGACCAGTAGGCCAGACCTGCCAGACTTGACTGCATGACCTACACACACCACCACCAGTATTTGATCAAAGACCAATCATGTATTCGACGCCGTTTTGCTTGGTCCAGGTGACAAATATATATATATGCATATACAGTAAATGCAACTAACTGGGGCCATGACACGTTCTCAGCGGCAAATGCCTTCTGAAAAATGCCACCAGGTCGCGATTGATCGTCTTATTCAACCGCAACTCCTGCTCCCGGCTCATTTTGACCTTCCATTCTGGCCAGGCCAAAAACACTTCAGCTGAGGAAGGGGCTCAATGAAAAAGCAAAAACATCCAGCCTCTTTTTGGCGCTTGCAGGCTCCCCAGCACCAGTCCTACAAAGCTAAAACAAGAAGCAAGCCCTTCAGCTCCTTGCGAAAAGGCTGCTCTCATGCTTGCCACCACTTATCGGAATGGGTGATTGGAAAAATGTCGAAAGGAAATGCACCAAATCCCACTACTGTAAATCTTCCGTCCCGGCATCTTCTGCCCCGTGCAAACCACGATTATGCGGAACAAATTGCATAGAGCAAACATCCTGCAACATGGCCTACCAGCCAAGCTCCATACTCCCAACATCTGCCCGGCGATCAATCCTGCTCTTTTTCTTCACCTGCCAGTGCTGGTGGCCGTGTTGTTTCAGAGCAAAAAACTTCTTAGTGCAACTCCCATCGCCTGGAACGGTCGTGCAAATTGCAGCCAAGTAGATCTTATTCTGCTCTGGCTTTCCAGGACCTACACTCGCAAATGGGAGGACTGCAATGACAGTGAGTACTCCATTGCTTTACAGATGCCCTCACTCTTTCATTATGAACATCTGGTCACCACACTTAGGGTCCCAGCAGGTCACCCAGCGTGAGATTGCTGCAGAGTGATCGTCCACAAAGTGCACAAACCTCGTTCCAATGGCGCAACTTGGGCAAGCTTTGGGGAGCACTTGGCAACAGGATCCTCGGCCCGAAGACTTATTATACACAGTGACAAGCTTCTGAAACCAGGACATGGCTCTCCTCGATTTCTACCCCGTTCACTCAGGCTGATGAATGGCTGGAAGAACGATAGGTTCTGCTAATCTTGCGTGAGTCGAGAAGTGAAATAAAACATCGTGGGCCCAAATCTTTTTTGACGAGAAGCGTGTTCCTCACCTGCACTGGAATGTCATGGGAGCCAGGTGCTACCCTCATCCTGCCAGCTGCGGGGGGGGCATCAGTATTATGTAATATATATATATATAGTACTTTGCATCTAGTACTTTGCATGGTTTGCTAACACCAGTCCTTTCCATTACCATGGTGCTCCTTCTGAGGGCTGCCTCAGGTGCATGGCAATGAAGTCTGCGATGAATCAATGCAATACTGGTCGTAGGCGTCTGCGACCCAGAGGCCAGTATTACTCATTCCCCTCAAATCTTGTGTCAATGCATATAAGTGCCTTGAAGACAAGCAGCAGAAGTCCGGGATAACTTTCTCCAGCACTGCGACTCCTGAAAGTCAGCCCTCAACTTGCACCTGAACTACTCCTCCAAAGACTACTGTAAGTCACTGATACGATTTCTGTGCGCCAAGCTGAACACAAAAAGGCTCCTTATCTTTGATGACTATGATCTCTATCGTTTTTGTGTGCTTAACTCTTGGCATTCAACTTCACACAAGCTTCATTGCATGTTCACAATTCTTGAGCCTGAAACATGCGCGAACAATAGCAGCATGATGCCGAGGTTACATTAAACAACTGTATGCATCGATGTTTCTTGCATCACCTGGCCCTACAAGAAAGAGTTCTTGACATCATAATTTCTGACTGAAGCGTGTCTCTGCAAGAATGCAGCACCGGCATTGATTCATCCATGCCACACCGATATGTTGTTCAAGCTTCTGTTACAAAACCAGCTGAGGCTACCACGTTGTGGGCACTGCTTTGTTCTTGTGCGCGCCTGTGCCATCAGAACGCCTTGTAAAGAATCGTGCGAACATATGGTCTGATAATCGCACAAGAGGATATGCAGCAGCGGAAGCCACTAAGAAGAAGGGGTGGGATACATGGAGAGACTGAGGAATGGATCCTGGAGAAATAGCGGGCTATAGCACTCAAAAGCATGAAATAGCAAGCACCGCAGCGCTGCCATGTGCTGTCAGCACTTTAGAAGAATGAATTTCCGCTGCACCGCACCAACAACATCCAACAACAATACCATGCTTATATAATATGACACGACACCACAGCCGCATCAGCCAATAGGTATTAGAATCCATCCTTGGCTTGGTGTGACCTTCTGCTTGGCCAGCCGAAAGTCTAAGCCGTGATCGGCATAGGTGGGCCTGAGATCAAACTGACTGTCAGCATCCATCAGTATCGGTCAACAAGTCCTGGGTCGGACACTGAAACCTCCTGGTCTCCAAGTGCTCCTTCCAACAGAAGATGATATCAAATGATGAATGTTGAAAGTCGTTCTGAGGGTGCCATCATGCGCCATCTTGACAGGGAGTGACAAGCCCATCGCCTGCGCATGAACCAAGCCATCTGAGACACGGGTCATCTGCGGTCTCAGCCTCAGTGGCGACCGGGCAATCCACGACGCAGCGGTCCCAGTCAGGGAAAATGGAGGCTTTCGCAACACCGTCAAAACCGGGACCGCTGCGTCGTTGGCTGCTCCCGCACGTAGGAGCAAAATGGCGTGGACCTTGACATGACGTCAGATCTGGCACGCCACAAGCAGCAGCCTAAGCAGCACCTGAATGATCTTTAATTGTTCCAACAGCTAGAGCTCAGGCCACGGAGGGCACAGGTTCGCGACACTTTGCACCTTCAAACCTTGAAACGAGCTGAGGCGAGTATCAAAAGAGCACAGGACGCCAAGATCTATGATCTGTATATATATATATATATAGTTTATATTACATTACATGCTTGTTGACATTGTCGTTGATAAGTGCCGGAGGATTAATCTGGCCCAATCAACAGAAAAAGAAAAGGGCCCGGTCAATCAAAACTCCTCTGCGCGGATTGAGGCACCCACGTGCATGCAGATTATTGCCAATATTGTTGGTGCTTCTTCTTACCTGAGAAGCATGCAATGGTTCAATCCCCCCAGCTTGCGCATTCGGTGCGAAAGACCACCCATCTATTCAATTTCATAGCTAACGAAACTCGGAAAGCACTGGAAACCTGCTTGTTTGCCTGCGTGCAACTGTAGAGCCAAACCAAAACTTAGAGAACCAATATATACTTGCCTCTGGAGCTAGGGGTTAAAACTCGTACAGTACGAAGATTTGCAGTGCACCTTCTGTGGCTTTGAGCTGGAAGCACTGCTCGAGCCATCTTTGCCAGGAGGTGTCCTCAGTTCGCCCATCCTAGACAGCTACTTAGGGTGGTCACTTCGTGTCTGGCATTTCAGTTTGGAACCGCTCTGTGCTGCTCGGCCCTTTTTTCTCAAGAGGCTCCCGCTATGCTGAGCGCAAGGAGCCAGTGGCCGCGAGCTCTTGCCCACGCAGCGGCATCGTCGCCATCCATATCGGTGGCCTTGACCGATCAACATTCGCACCCCATAGAACCAAACGTTCAGGCCACTGGTCTATTCCAAACATCCGTCAAGGTCTCCTCACTCTTTGATTGCCAACCCAACATGACTTTGCGCTACAAGTGCAGCATGTAGTAATTTTTGGGGGGGCGCCTCAGCCAGGAGGCGCAAATATTCACGTTGTAGTCATGCGGCCGGTTGGTGTATATTTTATTTATATATATATATATGTATTTATTTATTTACAGTATGTATTTCTTTATTTATTATTCATGGGAGGGGCAGCTGTGTTTCTTAAATGAATAGCCATGAATAATGCATCTAGGCTTTTGCATGAATAATGCGGCGCCGGACAGGAGGCTGTGTTTCTTGATGCGGGTGCTTAACCCCGAGGACCCTGGAGGGAGTTTCGTTTACCGGCGCAAGTGATTTGCAAAGGCTAAGCTGGATGTGAAGATCTACAGCCGCTTGGCCACTTGTGAATTGTCAAGAGTGTTCTGCTTGCACTCCGACCCTGTTAAGAGCCTCCAAGTTGTCAGTGGAAAAAGGAAAAAGGAACGACAGAACAACCACATCTGACAAGGCTCTGAAGGATCTGCACCGGCATGGAGCAGTAAATCACAGACTTCTTCATCTCCAGCATCAGCAGCAAACATCAGTGCGGTGGCACCCTGGGAAGTTGGCAAATTCACCTGAGAGCTTGCTGGTCATGCATGGGGTTGAGGTCTTGAAAACCTTGAAGATTGAGCCCTGTCCGAGATCCAACTTCTCTGCTCCTTTGAAGGACAAGCGACTGGAGCGCGCTCGAGCAACTCGCCGAGTAGGGCAAGAGCTGGTCCTTGCACATGCTGGTAAGCAATTTTCTCCCGGACCACTGGCGACCAGGTCCCCACCCTTCCGTGCAATACAACATCAAAACGTTCACACACATTTGCAAGTTGGTCAACTCTGCTGTCTTTTCTAGTGGCCTCTGACTTGAGAGGCGCCAGCGTGGCAGCAGTCACAGCCGACCTTTGGCTCCTGCAATGTAACATGACACCTTTACTGCAAAACTGTGGATTGCACACAGCTCTCAAGGTCTGATCAATTCATTTAGCAGCTCCTCCGCTTTTGACTTCAAGTGAAGTGCTGCTCCAGCAGCATGCACCACCCAGTGCAAGCAGCTCCAACCCTCCTGCGTCTGCACCAGGTCTTACCCTATCATTGCTGGCCACATGTCGCACGATCATGTCGCATCATGAAGTCAAGTAAGCATGCAGCATCATGATTGGAACTCTGAATATATAAATGCACTTTGTCAAAGTTCAGAGACTCCGAAAATTTGCCAACAAAATAAGTCTACAACGATCATATGGTACCACAAAATGTTATATTGAAAATGGGTAGTGTCCTTCCAACTTCTTGGTGAGTACAGCAAAGAAAGAACTCCAAACAAGCACAATTCCTTTCAATTTCTCAAATCGGGGTGAGCATCCAACGCTGCACGGCGCCTCTCCGAGAAACTCCAGATTCGCTCTTGGCCAAAGACGCTGTGCTTCTGCGATATTACCTGTCGACTGAGAAAGAGTTCCGGAGCAGCGCGAAGGCTTTGAGATCCATTTGCCAGGCTGCGACTCTGAGATGAGACAGCGGTCCGTTATTCATCAAAAAACTGCTCTCTGAAAGCTTTTCCAAACGTTTTACGTTTTGCAACCCTAGAGAGGACGAAGAGCCAAGAAAAACCTGGAACAAACACGTGCTCACCTGCAGCAAGTGCACGCATCACATCTGTTGCCGCATTCCCCTCTCCATCTTCCTCGGCCAAGGGATGTAAACAACTCGAATGTGACTTCGCTTGTCCAAACCAGCCTCCAATCGTTCTGCTGCCGGTTGCCCTGTCTGCTGCTCCGCTTTCTCTGCTGGCTGCTCAGCGCTCAACCCGCTGGCTTTTGTCAAAAGGGCGGTAGCAGCATCCGGTGACAGCTTGGAGAGGTATGCCAAGACCTGATCCTCTGACAACTCAGTCGAGGATGCCATCGCTGGAACGGAAGAAGGATGGTCTCCGTAAATGTCTGCCCACTACCAAAAAGATCAAGCAAGTCTTGGCATTTGAGTTATCCCACAACAAGAAGCATTGACAGGACTGCATTGTCAAGTCTGCATGTTCGTCAATAGGTGACAAGCTTTGGCCCAAATATGAGTGGGCAGCCGGATTTATACCAGCGAACTCTCGCAGAATTCACACCAGAAGGGCATGCAAAGCCACTGAGTCTCCAGCAGAAGCCGTGCATTTGTCAGCCGTGACCAGTCATACCTCACATCTAGCAGACGAAAGCTACAGTAGTGTGTAAGTTCAAGAGTGTGAAATAGCATGAAATCAGTACTCTAGTGGTTTGACATACGCCTCAAGAGCAAAAGTCTTGGCCAACTCCAACTCAGCCCTTGGCTCAATGAAGTGGCGGCGGTACTCCGTTCCCATCAGCTTGTGGCCCCCCCAGGCTCAGAAAAATTGTGTTCAATTGTTTTTACATATGTAACTATATAACTTAAGCCAGGATGAACATGCCAGTGCCAGTGCTTCAATCACCAAGGCCCTGCAACAACTGCACGTTATCACAGTCAGGCACAGTTGCAACAAGACAATCCTTTCTGCAAGCCCAAGCTTAGCAGAGCATTCTGCTAATTCCACACCCAAACCTGGAGATGCTGCCCCTCACTACCATTTCCTGTGTCCTTTCACTCGGGACCCCTTCCAAACTCAGGGCACAACAACTACAGTGTTTGGGTGTTCTCCTGCATGGTTATTGAGCATGCTCAGACCTTTGGTCTGGATCATTGCTCATCCTTCGCTTCAACAAGTGTTCATCCTTCGGAGACTTGGCTTTTTCAAGTTTCTCCCTTGCCTTCCTTCCTCACCGATGCCTTCAATGGTGCTTGTGGCGGCCATCATTTCAGGATCGGCTCCAGCACAAAGCAGTAAACTGGCTGCCGCATCGTTTCCTGCCTCTGTGGCATACCACAAAGGTGTGCAACCATAGTCATCCGGTGCATTCGGGTCACATCCATTGCGGAGGAGATACTGCAGAATGCGAGCTTGCTCATCTGAGTTCGGGTTGGCCAGTGCATAGAATAGACAACTCCTGCCGAGTGCGTCTATGATGTGCATGGCCATGGGAGAGTGTTCCGCCAGCAGTTCCAAAGTGCCCAAGTCTTGGCAGCATGCAGTGTGAAGAGCGGTACGCCCCTTGTCATCCACACCCATGGGGTTCACCCGCCAATTGGTCAAGAGGTTCCTCACGATAGCTTTATGCCCATGCAAAGCCGCCCGAAGTAGCAAACTTGCCCCACTTTGGGCTCGGCAGTTTGGGTCAACATGGGAACGGAGCAAAAGACCCACAAGTTCTTCATCCCCAAGGTGAACTGCAAGATGAGCGCAGGTGCATCCTAGGTCATCATCCAGGGGCTTGGCCCCCTTGCTGGCAAGCAGTCTCCGCAGCCGGCCCAAGTTTCCAGAGTGGCAACACCGCAGCACCTCTTTCTCGAAAGAGAAAGGTGTCTGTGCAGATTTGGCAGGCATATTCATCCGCACCCGCATTGGTGAAGGAGACCTGGAACGAGGGAACTGAGCCAAAGGAAGTCCTGGAATTTGTTCTGGTCTTAACGTCTTCGGCGAAGGAGAGCGTGAACTGAGCCTAGAGTCAACGGTTGCTCTTGTCTGCACGGTACTGGACGTGGAACCTAACTGCGTTGCTAAAGTTTTGGCATCCCTGACGGGTTTCCAAAGAACTTCCTGCTTGCCCAACACAAATGCAATGAAATTATCCACCCTGACCATGCCACATTCATCAAAATCCAGCATGAAACTCAGATTGGACAAGTCTTCATTGGAAACATGCGTCTCTTTGACACGAAGTTTCAATCGTACAACCCTGCGGAGCTGCTCAGGTGTCAAAAACCCGGTCCGCTCGACATCCAACCTTTGCTTAAGCCGCCTTGCCCGGTCAGTCCCCAAGTATGCTGCACCTTTCAATCTCGAACGAATTGCCTCAATTTCCCAGACTGGAAGGAGATATCGTCTCGTCCATTCTGGTCTTGATGCTAGTGGGCAAGATAGCTGCTCAACAGACCTTTCCCGTCGCGGGGAAGAGGGAGGAGATGATGTTGCTTCAAGTCGCTCCCCTGGTTTCACAGGTCTCCTGTGGCTATACCGTTGCCAATTTGGAGTCGGAGGACTGTGAGCCCCAGCATGAGGCAAAGGATCCCAGAGCTGTGGTGTTGAACTGGTGCTTGACATGCCAAGTTCTGCGTTGCAACTGTCACTGGACCCCTTTAGGGTGGTGACTTGAGCAATTCACCCCATGCTTTCCATGAAGCCCCGTTTCCACTAAAAATTGATGCCTTCATACAAGACCAAGTCAACTGTCAACGACGCTCACCTGTCTAGAATGAACAAACCACGGCTCTGAATTTGGGCGAACAACAACTAACTTGGGGTATTGCGGGAAGTGGAATCCAAAAACTATCCGGGCAAAAGACCCCAAAAAATGTGTCTAAAGGCCAAAGGAACAAGAGTGCAAAAACGTAGAAGCAGAAGGTTTACAGATCTAGACGCATTGAGTTCAAGAGCCAGGTGATGGTCGTGATCGTGGTGATGGTGGCGGTGGTGATGATGGTGATGATGGTGGTCGTGAAAAACGTGGTGATGATGGTGACGGTGGTGGTGATGATGGCGATGGTGGTGGTGAACATGGCCCTTGTGTGGGGCCATGCCCTGGCGGGGCAAGTGCTGCTGATCCACATGGGCTTCGCTCGTTTTGACATGGATGCAGCTGAGGGGGGGAGACCGTGCGACAGCAGATCCATCCCCGTTCGGACCGTGGTAAATCGATCGGGAGGGTGCGGGGGCATGGTGTGTACAATGAAGCCGCTCAGGGATGCTTAGCATGAGCGGGTGGCTTGGGCACAAAGTGGCGTTGCACCGGAAGCAAACCCATTCCGGTACCCAGGTGTTGCTATGCTGGTGGAATGTTGGTGCCCACTCCATGTGGCGGTCCGGGAGTTCCTGCCATGCCGTGCTTGCTTCGGGGTGCTCGGGGTCCCGCAAAAACAACCGGTGGCAGCAAAGTGCCACGACGTCGTGGGGTGGTTCCGGGCCAGTAGGTGACGAAGTTCTGGTGTCGACGTAGGGGAGCTTCTCTGGCAAAGTGACGCCCGCAGAGGAGCATTGAGCCTCAAAGATTGCCTCGGAAGTGTCCACCCACGGTTGGCGGCAAGTTGGACACGGGGGGCGTGGCTGTTCGACGACGAGGTGTGCGGCACACCCTGCATGGATGGCATGGCGGCAGTGAGGCCAGAACAAGCGAGCGGCTGGTCCAGTGTTGGTCGGGTGAATGGCCATCAGACAGGTAGGCCACGCTTCTTCTTCGGTGTGCGCTACTGGCCGTTGGCTGCTGGCATGGCGGAACTGGGGTGGGGTGGTGGATGCTGGCTGGCAGGGCAGTGGGGTTGCCGTGGGTTGGGGTGAAGGGGAGGGTGGGAGAGTGGCTGCTTCGCTGCTGTGGATGGCCGGGGTGACGTCTTCAATCCCGTCCTCGACGGGTGAAGTAAGGTCCACTGCCGGGAGCTGGCTGGCACCACGATGGGACGTGGAAGACGCAAGGGACAGGAACAATCCAAGGGCTGTGAAAAGCAAGGCCCACGACATATAGGGTCAGAATCCAGCGGTCGGGTTGCGCAAAGGCCAAAGACCACCAACTGGGGGGCACAGCCCCAAGGCCAAAGTCCAAACGCCAAAGTCCAAAGGGTGTGTGCCGGCTGCGGCCTTTTTCTTTCGGATCCTTTTGTTTTTTTTTGTAAGGGGTGGGGTGCCGGCCCCCCCGAATGCCAAAAGATCTATTGGTACAAGCCGGTCTGGGATCCGTTCAAAAACAAGGCTGTTTTTATACTGGCCAGCCTCCAGATGTGCCAACGGCGCTCTGGGATTTACGTGGTTTCAGGTTCCACGTCCAATTGTTTATTTGAGTGTTATCAAACAAAAGTGTAAAATATGTCTTGGAATTTGCATTTTGTAAGAGAAAAAACTACATTTTATTTTTTTTCACAAAGAGTTAAACAGTTTTCATAAAAATTTGTGACGTTGCTCATGTGGAAAGGTCGCCATTCACAGCACTTGTCAGAAGGAAGAATTGATCGAGGCGCTGGCCGGGGTTGGCTTGGTATTGAATCCTGATAAAACCGTGGTCCGGACCAATGAAGCACAACCTCCTCAACAATTGATTTTGTCAACTGGCCCTTTTTCAAACATTCAGCCGGAAGAAGGCCACAAATGGCTCAGGTGCATGTGAGCCAAAATTAAAAAAACACACACACACAACAACTGGAAAAAAAAAATTGGGGACCATCAGCCCCACCGCAGGAAAGGCCCGCATTCCAAATTGAGACCAACCGCCCGCGTTCCAAATTGAGACCAATTGCGCGTTCCAAAACGAGGCCGTTCCCGTGCACAAGTACGAATTGAAGTGGGAAAGGGAACCAAAAATGGCAAGGACCCGAGCCTGAACCAGGGCACAGGTCAATCAATCATTGGACCTTGAAAAGCGCCCCCCAGAACGTAATTTTTTCTGTGGGTCTTCACGAACTACCTCGAACACAAGATCCTAGGGAACTCCTTCAACAGCACCTCTCCAGAAAACAGCGCGCCGGACCCTAAGCCTCACATAGAACATGTCCAACAAAAGACCCTAAACCGAATCGCGGGCCACCGACACTGGCTTCTAACAAAACAAAACAGCGCAGTTTACACTCATCGCAGCCGAGAACATCAAAAACAAGAGAATCCCTCCCTCCAAGGAAACTTTCAAAGGCTGCGTCAACAAGGTGAAGCTCGCTGCTGGCAAGCGAACACATGACATATCAGATGAACCATATATGAAAGCACACATAGACGAGCACGCATGAAGGCTCACACCGTATGGAAGCACTTTTTTTTTGTTCCCTACACGCCTTTTTGCCCCGCCAGTCATCCGGTGGTCCGCCAAAAGGAGTTTAGGCGTCGGCGTTGGTGGACTGTTTTTATACTGGCCTGTCTTGATCCAAAAGGGCAAAATCCACGGCCCACGAGCCCCCTCACCGCCCTGGAAGTCGACTGGGGGCAGTGGGGGTGGATGATGCTTCGGTGAGAAGTTGCCCAAGGGGTGGGAGAACACCCTCGCCGCTGAGAGCAATGTCGGCTGACTGGTTGAGCATGGATGCTGCGAATGCTTGCATAGCGGCACGTGTAAGGATGGCATACCATCGTGCGATGAGGGAGGACACGCGCGTTCAGTAAGGGGCAACGGAAGCCGGAGGCGGCGGAGCATGAGGATGCGCGCTGTGCCTTTCTGCGCGGCGCAGTACCAAGCACAACTGCCCGTAAACCGCTGCGACTAGGAGAACTGCACTTCAAGTGCGCAGATCACAAAATCTGCACCTCAAGGTTAACAAAGCGCTGCGCTTGTACGCTTCACACTGCGCACAAAATGCTCTGTCTGCGACGACATGTGCTATTTGAGGTCCGCAAAGCACTGAGACTGTGCCCGCCACGAAATCGGCACATCAAGATTCACATCGCGCAACCCTGCCGAAACGATTCGCCGCAAGCGCACTTCCAAATGGGGTCCAACACAACAATGGCAAATGAATTGTCAATCAAAAACACATCGTCAGCAGGGCCGGCCTGCAATCAGCGTTCCCAGATTGTTTGACGAAAAATCCGTTCCCGAAAGGGAGCTAAGGAGGAAGCAGGCCGAGCAAGGGCAAGCACACATAAAAAAATATGTGTATATATATATACGGATCTGACACCAACAAAATCCGCCAAAAAATCCCGACCGTCGCATTTCTGAGGAAAAATGGTGCTGCAATATTGAAAAACATATCTGGCGCTTGCGGCTGTGCCCCCTGATCTGGCACTTGTCACGGTTGTGGGCTGGCAGCGCTCAGGGGGTGCCGGCGAGGAAGAAAAGGAGGAGGAGCAGGAAAGCTCCAGGTGGAAAAAACATGCCAATGCACCTATTTTGACAAGTATAGGGCTGGGAGTGAGGCTAGGATTTTCTTCTCTGGGGTATAGCACCGTCTCAGGAAGGGCTAATAAGGTTAGAAAGTGGGTACTGGCAGAGGGCCTCCCGAACAACCACTGAACTGAACCCGCTGCAGTCCTTTCGCGGTCAAAACCAACCCCTCCACACGCAACCGCCTGGGCAACAACAACGTTGTGAGCGCAGCCCAAACAACACGTGTCATAGCTTCAGCATGCTTCAGCCATGCGTTCAATCACCGCAACACCTCCCACACAAACGATACGCGTTTAGGATCAGGGCCGCACAAACACAAGCGAGTCACTTTGCTTCAATGGAGCCAAGCTAGCGGGAAATGGCTCGCATGAGGCTTTGTACATCCAAGCCGCCTCCGCCGCGCCACAGGGGCCACAGCGTGTCGTGCGCCGACTCATGCAAAGCCCAAAACACTGCGCCTTCTGGGCCGGCTTGCCACAGCGAACGCGCATAAGGAACTCAAGTCGTGGATACACAATTTTGTACAGTGAACGTGTTGCCATTGTGTATTGTCAAGTGTTGTAGTCTGTCAATAATTGTTTGTTGTTTTCATGCCGGGCTTTGCCACCAGCGCTGGCAGCAGCTTTGCGCGCCGCAGCACCGGAAGGGCGGCATCGCGCCCTAGCGCCGAAGCGGCCATCGAATTGGTAACACTCATCGGTCCACGTGGCCCCCTTGCCCCCAGAGACGGACAGCCGTTGCGACCCGCCTTGCAAAAGTTTAAGATAACGGACGCCTTTCGCGCCGTCGAGCTGCCGCGCGGTGCCGTGGGCAGGAGCACCAAATTTCTGGCCGCACTGCCAAAGACTTTGATGCCAAAGCCGGCCTTGTTGTTGTGTCTGCGGGTTAAAAAGCTGACCTACTGTTTGTGGTTCAGAAAACACGGCTCGAGCGTGTACAAAGCCGAAGATTTGGTCCTTACCTGTTCCAAGGGCAAAAAATAGAAGTAAATGTTGTGCCGCTCTTTTCACTCAGGTGTGAAGATATGAGCCCTCCGAAGACACCTCTTTCTGTCAAGTTGCGACGTTTTTTCATTTTACATAGCATTAAGTTTGCAATGTAAAGACCCTCAAAATCAAAAACAAACCGGTGAAGGTGGCGCACTTCGAACATAAACTATCAAACGGGTGTTTCTCAGGCAAAGGGCGAAAAACACATTTGCAAAAATGAACCGCGGTGCGAAAATCCAATGGTGATGTGATCCGGTGCGCACAATGCACGATTCAAAACGAACGCCGTTGTGCAACAACCCTTGCACATATGTTTCTCGCTCCGCCGATGCTTGGTGAGTTCCTTGATGAGACACGCCAGCACGAAGGAAGGTTGTACAAATCATGTTTAG